GCGGCGGCAGAGGAAGTCGGGGCTGTGCCGGGAGGGGAAGTGAAGCCGAAATGCGGCGAGTGGAGGGCGGGGAGGGCAGAGGGGCGGGAAGGGGAAGAGCAGAGGGGGCGTCGCCGCCGCCGCCGCGGCCTGGCTGTCCGCCGGGGCTGGGCCCGCCGGCCCGATGTCCCACAGGGAGCGAAGGGGGCAGGAGGAGGAGAAAGGGGTGGAGGAGGAAGAAGAGGAGGAGGAAGAAGGAGCGGCGAGGGGCAGCCGGGCGCGGCGCAGGAGCCACCCAGAGCCGGCGGCGAGCGGCAGCAGGACCCAGGACCGGCATGAGAGGAAACGGAAGAGGCAGGAGGCGCAGCAGCTGCGGAAGCTCCAGCACCTGGAGTCCTTGTGAGGAGGGGACGGGCCCAGGGGGTGCGGGGGGAAGCCGGGTCGCCCCCGCTCTGCTCTGAGAGCCGCGGTCGGGGCTCCGTTCCCGGGCAGGGCTGGAAGGGTGGCTCGTTGTTTCGGGGGAGCGGGTCTGTGCCCGGAGCGGGGAGGGAGCGGCCCTTTGGCCCCCGCCGAGGCCTCCGTGTGGAGCGGCCCCGCTCACCTCACGGCGGCTCCATGGGGAAATACAGGCCTTTTCCAGGTTCCTGGAAGCCTGGGAGTTGCAGTGGAGGTGTTCGACTGGTTTTTGCTAGAGGGGATTTAAAAAAAAAAATTATGATAAAAAGGTTTGAGAGCTGCCTGACGGCCCCGTCGCAGCCCGGCCCTGCTGTGAGAGCTTTGTGCTGTTTCACTGAATCACAATGACATGGAGTTGGAAGGGACCTCTGGAGACCATCTAGTCCAACCCTCTGCCAGAGCAGGTCCACCCAGAGCAGGTTAGAGTCATAGAATCATAGAATGGTTCAAGTTGGAAGGGACCTTAAAGATCATCGAATTACATCCCCCTGCCCTGGGCAGGGACACCTCCCACCAGACCAGGTTGCTCCAAGCCCCATCCAGCCTGGCCTTGAACCCCTCCAGGGATGGGGCAGCCACAGCTTCTCTGGGCAACCTGGGCCAGGCTCTCACCACCCTCATGGCAAAGAATTTCTTCCTGATACCTAATCTAAATCTCTTCCAATTTAAAACTGTTGCTCCTTGTCCTGTCACCACTTCCTGACAAAGAGTCCCTCCCCAGCTCTTTTGTAGGCTCCCTTCAGGTATTGATAGGCTGCTATAAGGTCTCCCTGGAGCCTTCTCTTCTCCAGGCTGAACAACCCCATCTCTCTCAGCCTGTCCTCATAGGAGAGGTGTTCCAGCTCTCTGATCACCCTCGTGGCTCTGCATGAGGTTGCACAGGAACGTGTCCAGGTGGGGTTTGAATGTCTCCAGAGAAGGAGACTCCACCACCTCCCTGGGCAGCCTCTTCCAGGGCTCTGCCACCCTCACAGCAAAAAAGTTCCTCCTCATGTTTAGATAGAACTTCTTTTGTTGCAGTTTGTGCCTGTTGCTTCTTGTCCTGTCCCTGGGCACCACTGGAAAAAGACTGGCCCCATCCTCCTGACACCCACCCTTGAAGTATTTATAAGTATTGATCAGATCCCCCCTCAGCCTTCTCCAGACTAAGACAACCCAAGTCCTTCAGCCTCTCCTCATCAGAGAGATGCTCCAGGCCCCTCCTCATCTTTGTAGCCCTCTGCTGTCCCCTCTCCAGCAGTTCCCTGTCCTTCTGGAACTGGGGAGCCCAGAACTGGATGCATTTTGATAGAATGGGGTTTAATGGAATAAAAAGATCAGAATGTTCACAAGAATATGATTATTTTTTTTTTCCCCTTTCTGCGTGAAAGCACAAGTCTTTTTGTTACAAAATGCACTAAAACAGTACTCATAAAATGATTGTCACAAAGACCCATTTCATAATGTCTGGACATTTACCCCCTGAGCACATGCGTGTTCTCAGCTGTTGGATTTCAGTACATTTTATATCTCCTATTGACACCAGAGAAACGCTGCAGGAAAGATGAAATTATTATTAGGATGTACTAAATTTGGCTGGCAAAGCTGGCTGTAAGAAATGGTCTGAGTTGGTGTTTTCAGCTGAGTGCCTCTTTGATCCAGCAGCGCTGGAGGAAAGAAGTCTGAATTGGTGAGATGCTGAGGAGGGGTGCTGCAGAAATAAAGAATTGGGCATTTGTGGCAGTGGAAGCTGAGCTGAAGCTGAGCTTTCACCCATCCCTGTAAAGCTGTACCATGAAAGTAGTTGTTCCCCCCACAAGAGTGTGAATCTGAAGGATGGTTGCAAGAGACGTGTGGTGGTAAGACAAGCACTGTCTCTCAGTCTGCTCGCATCCAGGTATCCGTGCTCTGCTATAGTTCTTGATAGAGTCAAATTTAAGGGAAAATGTGGTTTTAAATAGGTTTTAACTCTATGCCATTGAAATACTGTATTTTCTCAAGCTATTTGTGCTAAGCTGCAGATAACAATATTTCTGTTGCTTTTCAGCTATGAGAAACCTCCCCCAGGGCTAATTAAGGTTGGTAATGTATCGCAGTAAATTTTTAGCACTATGAGGGGTTTTCACACAACCTGTCTTGTAGTCATTTGTCTTAAATGTCTACGTTACCCTTATAAATTACAGAGAGAAGTGGGTGCTTCCAGAGGAAAACTCACAGCTTCTCAGTTTACAAGCCAACCTCTTTGACTTGGCAAATCCAGAGTGAAATACCCAGAGCGGGATAGGATGATACCGGTTCTTTCATCACCTCTGAGCACACAAACTTAATGCAGTATTTAATAGTGCAGATAACGGGGAATCATTTACGGTGAAGCAGATTTTCAGTTTGCATGAATGAATTCAGGATTTTTCTCCATTGCTTACGCTCAAATGTTGGTGTAAAAATACTTTCCTTTCACAATGGTCATTGCTTCTGCTGTGATTTATATGTCTAAACCATAATCTAGTGCTTTTAACCTAAAAAATGCTGCTCTGTGTTGTAAAGGTGGTTTGTAATTGTTATGTTGTGTTAGCAGGAAAAGGAAGAAAGTCTATGCTTGTCATTTAAGTTTTCATTTATATTATTTAAATACATTACTGAAATAAACGGAAAGGAATGGAATTAATATGGCAATAGAGTTCAGACTAGAAAATTCAAGGGCAAGGGAAAAAGAAAATTACTTAATGCTGTTAAAAGGTGTTTTGGATCCTTTATATGTTACAAGAAAAATAAATCTTGCAGGAGAAACAGGCTCCATATTAGGTCAAGGCCTGCATGCTTGGAGTATTAATTTTTACAAAGTTAAAAAAAAAAAAAAAGTGATTTTATTGTCCTTATCTTTTTCCCTAGGAGAATGAAACAAAACCAGAAGACTGCATACCTGATGTACCGGGCAATGAAAGTGCACGAGAATTCCTGGCACATGCCCCGACAAAAGGGCTTTGGATGCCTTTGGGAAAAGAAGTCAAAGTCATGCAGTGTAAGGCTGAAAATATAAAATATTCCAGATATCATTGGGCTTTCACGTAGCCACCCTTTTACTCTGGGGGAGGGCGGAATGTCTGGTGGACAGATGGCAAGGTCCAGGTAGATTGGCATCGTATCGATATAAAAGCAACCAGTACCTTGAAGGCTGTAATAAAATGCAAAAAGGTACATTTTATGGACATTACATTTATCATCATAATACTTGTATCTGTTGATTTGTTTCAACAAAATTAAAATATTTTCCATAAAAAGGCTTTTTTTCTTCTTCTGATATGGCTCAGAGATGCAATTCACTTCTGCTTCTTTTTTTTTTAAAGGTTGGAGGTGTAAACGTTACGGACACAGAACAGGAGATAAAGAGTGCCCTTTCTTTATTAAAGGCAATCAGAAGTTGGAACAATTTAGAGTAGTGAGTACAAACACTGTGGCATTATTGCTTGTATTTTCTAATGTTGATGATGCACATGAAGAGAAGCCTGTTAGATGATGCTTTCTTAAGGGCTTTTCCTCTGTCTCTAGTATAACATAGATGCTGAAAATCTCCTAATAAAGAAAAAGCTACAGATGTGGTTGGATGTTTGACTGCTTTGCAGAAAATCTACTCTCCGAGAGGAATATTAGTAATTTTTACATTTAAATTGGAAATCTTCAAGAACCTGTTTCAACCATTACAGTCAGTTTTTGCCATTAAAATGTCAACGTAACAAAAAATGCTTAGTCAAGCTTGAGCTGCCCACATTGTAGCTGCTTCAAGCCTTCCGCTGTCACTGAGCAACCACATCATGAAGCCTGCAAGCCTAGGTCTGTAATCCAGTCATTGTCTACACGTCTGACCTCTTGCTACATGAGGCTCCATCTCAGTTCTGCGCATTCTTTCTGCATGACCTCTAACGTTTCCTGGTGCTCTGCATTGTTAAACTATATTTCAGGCTGTCATCGCTTTGGGTCTTGTGTCCTCATTTCTAGCCTTGAAAAAATGCAGTCTGGACTTACTCTGTCCAATCAGAATGCTACTACAAGGAGTATTTTTGGCCCGCTCCCATAACCAGATTGCCTCTGTCCTTCACTTTTCCTCAGGCTTCTTCTCTGTTGCACCAAACTCTTGCTGTTTGTCCGAGGCCCTTCGTGGTGCATTCCCAACATCTTTTATTCGCTACTGACACTTTAATTCTTACCCCTGGTCAGCATCTGGTACCTCCTCTCTGTTGAACTTGTTTGCTGAATCTTCCAACAGAAATAATCACCCCATCTTTTTGCTGCATTCTTGCACAGCATGAACTCACCTTAAATATCTGCAAAGTTTGTTTGCTGAATCTTCCTTCACAACAGTCTTTTGCTGCAATGCCTGTTTAAATTAAAAATAACTGATTTAAGAACCAATAATGGTAGCTCCTAGCATGTTAGGCCAACTCCAACTTCATTATCTGTTTGTCCTATATTCCTTGCTCCTGTATTCCTGTTTATTTGTATCTAAGTCTTTAAAATACACTAGAAGGGCACAGCTCACTATTCTGAACAATATTCCTTCTACCTCTGGCTATTCCTGTAGTAAAGGTATGGGGTTGTCTTAGTTAACTGTGATCAGAGAGGAGAGAGGTAATATACCTGAGGAAATGCCCTTCTTTGGTGATGTACCTAGGTAGGCTTTTCCTAAAGTAAAATAAACAGTTCAGATTACCAGTGTAAAGTCTGAGAGTATATTGGTGAATTAAGAGCTTACTAAATATAATTCATCTTTTGAAAAAAGCCTCTTGCATTGGGTTGCTTTAGTTTGTTTTTTAAAGAAATACAACAGTCAGTGATAAATACTTTTCTTTACCAACGTTGGATTTTGTTTTCCACTTTAAAGGCACATGAAGACCCAATGTATGATATCATAAGGGAAAATAAACGTCATGAAAAAGAAATGAGGTAAGCACGTTTCTGTAGGAAACTGCATTTTCAATTTGGTTTTCATTTTGATATCATTATACTAATGTATAGGTGAAATTCAGATATAATCTACCCTTACCAACTCAAAACATGATCCTAATGGCAACTTCTTTATATTGGCAGATGCTAATGCATTTCTACTTCCTCCAGAATCGCTCAGTAGTATGTTCTACCTCTTTAATTCTATTAGCTTCTATATTTTTTCCTGAAATGAAGTTTAAAGAGGAGTCATATCCATTTATGCTGTAATATTCAGGTACTTGAGTTTAGCTTTGGCCTAAAAAAACAGTTCGATATGTTTTTTTTTTTCCACTGACTTCACTGAGATGTTTTCTAAAATTCGATACATCAGAGTGCCTTCAGTAGACATAGAAGGGGTGGATTTAGAAAGCTAGTTCTAGGCACCCGATGCTGTTCCTCATGTGAGGTAATTATTCAATATATAAAGCAGCAGAATTCTGTGGTGCTTTCTTGAGCTGCAGGGCTGAGGTAACTAGCAAAGCACAGGCAGCCCATGGAGTAGTACTGCTGCTGCAAGTGTCTCAAATCCTTGGAGAAGATTCTGAAGACAACAGTAAAATAAGCAAGTAGTTTGTCCCCATTTGCTAGTAATCCATGAAAGTTCCAAGGAGGAGTGCCTGTCAGGAACATCTCTGCATCTAAAGCAGAGTCTCCTCTGTCAGCCCCACCAACGCTGTCTCTGTGTCAGCAGGGCAATGAATTTCAGAAAGGTACTTGAGTTTAGCTTTGGCCTAAAAAAACAGTTCGATATGTTTTTTTTTTTCCACTGACTTCACTGAGATGTTTTCTAAAATTCGATACATCAGAGTGCCTTCAGTAGACATAGAAGGGGTGGATTTAGAAAGCTAGTTCTAGGCACCCGATGCTGTTCCTCATGTGAGGTAATTATTCAATATATAAAGCAGCAGAATTCTGTGGTGCTTTCTTGAGCTGCAGGGCTGAGGTAACTAGCAAAGCACAGGCAGCCCATGGAGTAGTACTGCTGCTGCAAGTGTCTCAAATCCTTGGAGAAGATTCTGAAGACAACAGTAAAATAAGCAAGTAGTTTGTCCCCATTTGCTAGTAATCCATGAAAGTTCCAAGGAGGAGTGCCTGTCAGGAACATCTCTGCATCTAAAGCAGAGTCTCCTCTGTCAGCCCCACCAACGCTGTCTCTGTGTCAGCAGGGCAATGAATTTCAGAATATCGTAATCCCAACATCCAGCTGTGTATGGATGAGCACGGAACCTCTTACGGTGGTCTGGTGATAGCTTTTGCCTCATTATTTTGCACACATAATTATTGGCCAATGTGGCGTGGGGGGGACAGTCCCTGGGAACAGACTGGCTGCTTGTCTCAAAAGAGGTTGCTTGTATCAGGCTGTGAAAACTGTAACGAGAACATACTTCAGCCAAAGAGGAAGTGTTCCCCTGCCCTTCGCCTGAGGCTTCCATTTCTCAAGCTAGGAAGGAAACAGGTTAAAGCTAGAATAAATTCTTACAGGTAGAGGAGAGCTAGAAAGGGTTCTCATTCACGTTTTTTGAATTCAGGATACAGCATCTGAAGCAGCTCCTGGAGGACTCTACCTCAGATGATGACAGTGATGATGATGATGAAGATAGCAGCAGCTCGACTTCCTCAGAATGCAGAGATAAACACAAGAAAAAAAAGAGAAAGAAGGAAAAGAAAAAAAAGGAAAAGAAGAAGAAAAAGAAGAGAAAGCATAAATCATCTAAATCTAATGAGAAGTCAGAATCTGACTGACAGCAGTCACCTGCTGCACGCTGACTGACCTCCTACTTGTGAACTGCAAGGAAAGAGCCAAAGAACGAGGAAGAAACCGCCGGAAAGGGCTCTGTTAAACTCAGAACATACAGATGGATACACACAGCATCCTACACTGGCTGTCCTCTTCTGCCCCTCTGCAGTGCCGCAGCCAGAAGGAAGAGAGCTGCAATGAAACACCACCAGTCAGCCCTATCTTTATTCTGTAAAACCTCTGCTAATGGTCATTCTCTTGGTCAGCTCAGGCCTCTGCGTTGCTGCTCGTGGCTGTGGGCAGAAAGCAGTGGCTACCAGGGTGTCACCAACCCATCTGCAGGGTTCAGCAGCCTGCCTATTGAAGTGTCTTTTCTCCATGAAGTCATTTTGTTCTATACAAAGCCTCACTGTAGCGGGGCTGCAGTTTGCACCGAGCAGAGCACTGACAGCTCACAGTGCTTATAATAAGCAGGTTGTACTGTTATATTTTTTTAATCTGCATCCTGCCTATGTGCTGAAGTTCTTTGTACTTATCTGAGTACTGGCAGCTAGGGAAATAAAGCTCACTGCTGAAGGAGGGGAAACGTTAATCAAGGGGTTTTACTTTAAGACAGAATTGCAGTGTTGGCAAGACTTGGGGTTTTTGTGTAGCAAAATCTCAATATCTTTGCCATTAATGCGCACAGTTCTGTAACACCTCAACTGTTCTCCAAACCATAGGGGTGAGAGTCAAGTGTAATGTTGTTGGATGTTCAACTGTACTGTAAAGAGGTTGTGGTTTTAGTTATTTAAAAAGGCTGTTTTCATGTTAGAAATGAAAAAGATTAATTTCTACATAAACCAGTATCAGTTGTTTTGATACGTTTGAGTTTTTTTTTTTTCCTTTTAACAAGGCTCGGGGAAATAAATTCCAAACTTACTTTTTATGTTTGCTAGAATTATTTTATATAGTCATATTTTATGAATCATCCCACAATAATATAAATGCGTAAGGCTTTTCAAACAGTTCTCAATTATATGCATGCAAGCCACAAAACAGCAGTAAAGAACTTGTAAGCAGGAAGAAGGGAAAGTTTTGTGTACTTAATTGATCTTGTGAAGTGACCACATTTTTCTTTTAAGTCTGCCATCTTGCAGACTTGACTAGAAAGATTGAGAATGCTGTAAACTGTGTTAGAGTAAGCACCTCTTTTTGGAACCTCAAGGTGCAGTGGTACCAAGCTGTGATTTGAGGACCTAGATGATGTATATTGGTACTCTGCAAAAGGAGAAAGAAAAGCAGATTGGCTTTGAAAGGACAAGGAAGGACTTATATAGAACTTAGTCTCTGTGCTTAGACTGATATTGGAAAAAAAAAAATAACACCACGATGAAGTTCTACACAAGGTGCAGTGGTACCAAGCTGTGATTTGAGGACCTAGGTGATGTATATTGGTACTCTGCAAAAGGAGAAAGAAAAGCAGATTGGCTTTGAAAGGACAAGGAAGGACTTATATAGAACTTAGTCTCTGTGCTTAGACTGATATTGGAAAAAAAAAAATAACACCACGATGAAGTTCTACATTCATAGAGTGAACATTAACAGTGAAATCAAGGAACATAGAATGCATTTAAGATTTTTTTTTTTTATTCTTCTGAGAGCTTTGGAAGAGAGAATAGGGGAAGTATATGCTAAAGTGTGTTTTCTCCCTCTTACATGTCTAAAAGTCATTTAGTAAAAATAAACCCTCATGTCTTGCTAGTTATTCATAATATGTTCTGGGGAAAAACCAGGTAGTCAAGGCCTACTTGCAAAAAAGGTTCTTTATTTTATTCCCATAGCTCAACTGTGCAGATGTGTTTTATCCTCCAGCATTATTTAGCAAATCTCCCCATGATGGGATTTTCTGGTGACTCCTGATAATTCCCTGTATCAACATCATCAAATTCAAAGCTCCTGTCTCTTTCACCAGAAAAAGACATAACAGCTGAAATAGCACGAGACCTTCCCATTTTACCTACCAGGATTTAATATTTGAACAATCAAAAAATACTGTAAAGGACTGTTCTTTAACTTACATCGAATACAATTTAAAAGTTTTGTTTTGAGATACCAAATCACTCCTCTGTGCCAGATAAAGGTCTGTTTAACCCAGTATTGTTTCCTGCTCATGGTCAATAGTGGATGCCTACATAACAGAAAAGGGCAAATTCCAGTGGCATTATTTCTGCTGTTTCACCAAAATGCTGTCTCAGCCTCCACTCACCCTCCAAGTGCTTGCAGGCACTTGGAATTATCAGTTTTATTTTAGTATTTAATAGCCTTGGATACATTTTTTATTTTCCATCCAATCACTTTTTGTAAACTTTGCAGTTTTCTTCAGCAAGGAACTCTAGAGGTTAATTAATAATTAGCGAAGAAACTTCATTTGCTTTTCAGACTGCTCCCTCCTAGTTTCGTTTCGTGCACCCTAGTTCCTCTAATGGAAGGCATGTGAACAACTGATTCCTATTCATTTTCCCCATATCATTACCGGTTTTATAGATCTCCATCATATCCCATACACAAAGATTTAATAGTTCTGTCCTGAAACTCACAGAAGTAAAGCCAATTTCAAAATTAACAGTTTCAGTAGAGTAAGATTTTGAGTAGTGGTAGCTGGTGCTGGAATGCTAAGCAGCATGATTAATCATTTAGCATTTTTTTACACTGTCAAAGCCAGCATTTAAGAGACTCTAGGTCTTTTAGAAATACATAGCCTAGAGATAAATACCAACATCCATTTCTATTAATGGAAAATTATTCTGTATAGAAGTAAATCCAGAAAGCAGGGTAGAAAGCTATAGTATTGAGAGACTGATGAGCCTTATTTTTTAGATCTTAACCATTGAACTATTAACGTTTCTGTTCAAATAATTTGTTTTTCCCTAGCAATCCTTGCTGCCTTTGTAGATGTGTATATTCCCATTTGAAAGTCCTGTTGAACCTGAGTGCTAGTAATACCATGATTGCATAGTCCTGCGAGTCTGAGTGAGATGCAGCTACAACACAGCCCGTAGGCAGCACAGCTCACCAGGGCTCCAGCTCCCAGCTGTTTATCTTCATACTCTTCACCGTTCTTCTCAGAAGGGTTACTTCACCAAAACCACTGACATCTGTCTTCTTTCTTTGGCCATGAAATTCCTTGGGGGTTATGGACCTGTTCCCCGGGCTGGCCATGGGCAGTGGGTCAGCCTGGGGAACCTGAGGGCTCCCCTTTGAACAGTGGGTTTGTTTCCCATTGATACACCCACAGCTGGCATGCAACGGGTGGGTTTTGCCATTGGCTCCCCTTTGCCATTTTAAGAGAAAGACCTGTAATTAATCTTTTCCAAAACAAGGCAGAAAACAGGACATTATAAAAGAGCAAGCTTTATACCATGCAGATGCTACCAAATTGAGAATTAAAGCCTGGAATGAAAACCAGACAAGCCAACACAAACCCAGTGGCTCCACTTCAGTTTGCATGTCACAGCCTGTCTGGACGTTAAGCTGTGTGCCAGGTGACTTCAGATGTAGCCCCTGGATTGTCCCTGCTGCTTGCTGAGTGAAGAAAAAGCCAAGCAGAAGATTTAGTTGTAAGGTCACAGGACTAGTGCTGTCAGAGTAGACTGCACCACATACGTCTACAGCACTGGTGTGGGTCCACAGCATTGTAAACTAACTGCTTAAAATCTCGCAGCATACCTGTGGCATTTGTTTTCAAAGAGCTGTCTAAACACTCCTACTGCTACTCCCTCACCTATTCTTGGGACCTAGCATCACCAGGCCCTAAACTGCTGCTTCTGTGTGGGTAAAATAGCATACTGACTAGTGCAAGAGGTATGAAAGGGTGACTAGGGTGATCTTGGAGTGCCTGTGAAATGTTTGCCATCCCCAAAAGAGTGCCATCTAATTGTGAGGTCATGAATATTCTTCTCAGACAAGCAGCAAGAGACAAACGTTAATCCATCAGGAGAATTAGTTTAGTATTCAATCCCAAAGCCACACTCAGGCTCAGTCCCTCTCTAAGATGTCTCAATTATAGCTGAGGATTACTCTGAGCTCATCACTTACAGCTTTCAAGTTGAAGAGATTCTACCACTCATTCTCCCCATCAGAATAAAGTTTATCCCTCTCTAGGAGCAGCACATTCCTGTACTAGATATCCAAGACCAGCAGTCCTATATTTTGCAGAGTATTTAAGAGCTCCGTGCTTGACATAATTCCTTCCCTCATTTTATTCTTTGAGATTCTGATGCAACAGATTTTTGTGCAGCACAAAAGCCAAATAAGAATTTGTATACTTTCTTGCAGTGCTTAAGGTAGAGAGGAAGTTAACGCTGTGCTGCCAAGTTTTTAAGTGGATCCCTGACAGCTTGGGGTAAAGGCTCTAGTTACAGTAGCTCTTTAACAAGCAAGTGCTATTAAAAATAATAGAAAGATCAAGAATCAGTTGATTAGGGAAACCTCAATACTCCTCACTGAGGGAAAACAGCACAATCTCAATTACAGCTCAAACTAGTAATAGGCAGGCACAACACTTGAATGGAGTCACAGGAAATACTACTTTTATCCCTGTAAGTTACTCTAGAGCAGACAGAATAAGAACACTGGGAGAGGAGGCAGGAGAGAAGTCCTGTCTCTTCATTCCCCCCTGCCCTTTATTTAAGAAGAACTGGCTGGTTTCTTGTTTTTTCAGTTTGTTCTTCCCCACCCCCCACCAAGTTCCCCTACCTTTTTCATTCCCACTATAACTTTCTTGGGAATCATCCAAGAATGGCAGCATCACATTTATTTTCTCACATGGTAATACTAACTTCCATAGACATGAAAAAGGATCACATATTTTTGAGCTATCCACCTCATCTATTTCCTTTATTCATAAGGGAGCTCATCAGAGACCTAGTTTTATCCTCTTAGCTCTATAAAGATTTTTCTGTAGTGGGTTGCCAAGGACACTATCAACTGTAATAAAAGTCACCAGTAAGAAGTCAGGGAACATGGCACACCACTGTTGTAAAAAACTTCTGTTTCATTTTCAAAGTCCATCTCCAGCTCAGGGTTTTCATAGAGGACCCAAAAAATTTCCACAGAAAAAGGAGAGGAGGGGGAAGCATCACATTGATTAAGGGCTTCAGTTTTAGTCCTCACTCATGCATTTAGAATAATAACTGAGGAACTGCCTTGAAATTTTGAGTCAGTACTTGACTTGAATCAGCTTTAACTATGTTCCTTTACACTTCTGACAAAAACAAATCCAACTGATGGAAGAAAGTCTTGTACCTACGTCCACATCATGTAGACAAACTGACTATGAGATGAGAAGGTGTTGACAGGCTTCCCAGTCCTGCAGAGCCTCAGAACAGGGCAGCAGTAAATGGTATCCTAGGATGGTACTGAGGCACATACAGCCCTATCTAGTTTTTTTTTTACTTCCATGTAGAGATGGAATACAAGAAGTCTCAAAGTGCAATTCTATTAAATTTATTATTTAAACAGTGGATATGCTAGTTGTAAAAAGGTGACTTTAGTGTTAAATACTTAATTCCATTTTAATAGTGTTCTCAGTCTTTACAGTGCTACTTCTTACCCTTTAAGAGTGCACAGCAACTCAAAAGATACACAGGAGAATAACAACAGACTTTTGGAGTTATGCAAACCTCCGACACATTTGTTTTTCCCCTCCTGCCCCAGTATTTGCAGTTATCTTCTCTTATAGAGGGACTTCCTCATTCCACTCCCTAAGGAAAAAAAAAAAGATTAAGATATATATTGTCCTTCCAAATAATACATGCCAATATAATTCTAAAGAAGGACTAGACATCAGCAATTGCCTTTTCCTGTTGCAGGAGAGGACACCAATGGTTGATATGAGAATTATGTATTCAGCTTCCCAACAAGGATAAATTCTGCAGGAATGATACCAGACTGCAGAAT